ATATATATATATATATATTTTATATATATATTATTTAAGCCATACATACGTTATGTTCATATTAAAACATGAATGAAAATAACGATTTCTGTTGGTTCATACCTTAAAATTGCAACAATTATGTTGGTGAATAGAATTTTGAAATTGGAAAGATCCTTTTGAATTACCTACTTTAATATTTTAATGAACTCGTCGATGTTGCCGATAGTTCTTTTAGTATTTATATATGCATCCTCTCCTCCCTTTGAAGGAGAATACTTGGAATTCTTCTGAATTACTTCATTAAACTTTATAATAATTTTTTTATGTTTCACGAAATAAACATAACAATTATGACAGTAATCACCCATATGTTATGTTATTATGTGTTCTCAATTCTATAAAGTTTCTTATATGAACATGATATTTTCGTTGCATTTCATCAAAAGTTAATTATCGGTTTTCTTTTTTTTTATTATGTCCACATCGTTTGAGATATAATAGTCTTCCATGTTGATTGAACCATAATTAATTAAACATGTGAGGACCGAGACTGTTTTGGTTCTCCACTTTAGATTAACGTTTAGAGTATGCATTCCTAAGTAGATTAAGCATAGAGTAAATAAGTTTTTAATACGACCATGACAATTCTATGACAGGTAAGGTTGGCATCGAATTCGTCTGTTACGAATTAGATCCAAACATTGATTGGCAATGCTAATCAGGGGAGAGAAGTAACCGTTATCACTAACGAAGAGGGTTTTGCGTAAGTCTTTTTTACCTTTTTGGTCGTCGACAAGGGTGGACGTGTGCTCGGATTGGTGAGATGTAAAACAAATATCGTGAATAAAAGTATAAATTATAGTAATGAGTACATATAAATTGTAATAGTAAGAGTCAGTAATTGAAACCCTCTTCAATTTAATTGTAAGTTATGATTATTAAATATAGTTCGAATAAAGAATACGGAAATCACCGAAGTTAAGTTGTTCCTTTTCTTTGATGGCGTTAGATTAAATCATAACCTGATTAGATGAGTGTTTAGCAAGCTAAATTACGGTGCTTTAGCAAGTAAGGAAATTTGATCCACTTTGGTCAAATGTTATAACAAAATAGATTGAGTAGGCAAAGGGTGCAGGTAAGTGCCTTACTCTATAGGAGATTAGAATAAGGATATATTACACACACCCTTTCTGTAGCTGTGTGGTCCAAGAATAATGAAATTCTTATAAGCAGGCCTGTACAGCCTATGACGATACCCCATACGAAAGTTAATAGGACATCCGTACCTTAATTAAAAAAGTATATAGGCCCGCGGCATTTATGTTCATATTTACCTCCTTACAAATAATACCTCATTGAAACGGTATCTTCTGGATAACAATTTTAATTTGAGTGTAAAGAGCGTTTTTAATAATAATTGTGTTCCTATTAATTCTAATATTTCAAAATCTTTATTGTGTAATAGCTTGGAGTTATTTTTGACCACACAATGTGTATTTATTTGTAGGGCTTAAAATATTTGTTCTCCTCGAATTGATACGATTTATTCTCAAATCCAAAAATTTATTCTATATTACTTTCTATTTCATTATTTTCTACATTCGGTATGGGTATTTTCAGGTATTTTATTTCCCAAAGATTAGATATGTATTATTAAATAATGCTCCTCCAAAATGGAATGTATTTGAGCTTCTTATAAATGATTTTATATTTTGCATATTATTTTATTATTAGCTAAAATCTTGGAGCTGTTCTTTTTTCACTTTTTATTAGTTCTATATTTATTAATTGCTCCAGATATAAATTTTTCTTAGCTTCTGTTTCTAAGACTTTAATTACTGAATTTATTTCACGTTTTATTTTATTTTTGTCGCTCTTGATAACTCATTTTAGATGGTTTAAAGTTACACCAAAATAATTGTGTACTAATACTTGCTGCATATTTCGCACTACCAATTGGATTGATATAATTAACTTTGAAAAAATTGCATTAATTCCATTAATTTAAGATAATATATTTTGTTTTATTTAATAGTATATTTCTATAATACCTGAATCTACGCTCTTTCTAATATGATGTAGAGGTATTTGTTTAAAAGCTTCTTCGATTTCAATGTCTTGGGCTCTATTTGTACATTTAGTAAATTTTATTTGGCTATCATTTATCCTGCGCTTTATTATAATTTTGTTCGACTAATTCCGGATGTATATAAATTTTTCAACTTTATGGTTTGTCATTATAATTTGAGTTTTATATATATTTAGTGTTTGCTCTTTTATATAGAAATTATCGTACACACTTTCGTCAATCGAAAGAATCGTTACCACCGATACACCACTTTCTTCTGTATTGTTTACCGTGTTCAATTCCATCTTACTTTCCGAATTCCATGAAAAATTTATCTCATAGGAGTTTACGCATTCTTCATTTTCCTGAAAAACGTCCACGTTATTTTCTATTCAGCTTAGAAAATCGGCTGTTTGATTTTCCTTGCCTTCTATGTACTCTACATCGAAATTGTATTCTCCTAATTTCTTCTTATTAATATCTGATGATACGCTTTCGCTAAGTCTATAGTTGCGAAATATTGTGCTCGTTCTAATTTGTTTAATATTGAGTCTATGTTTGGAGATTTATCAATTTTTTCTTGATTTATTGTAATTTTCTATAATCTATTATAATTCTACATTTTTTTTTGTGCATAATTGTCAATTTTTTTGACACAACTATTAAAGGGCTAGAATATCGTGAGATACTAAATATTTGCTGTTCTTTCATTTTCTTTATTCATCTTCGTACCTCTGCTTCATGTTGTGGACGATATCTGTATAGCTTTCAATTTATTTGCTCATCGGTTGCTGTTCTTGTCCCATGTTATGTATTTTCATTGTGTTTGTTAGTTTGTCCCCTCCCTTAAAAAATAGTTTCTCAAACTCTTCAACATTTTCATGATTTTTTTTTGCTTTTTAAATGATCCAATTGTATCCTATCCCAGTTAAATTGGATTCCTTCTGGTGCGGGGCTCCTATCAGTGGTAGGAATCTTTGGAAACGAAACTACCTGAAAAATTGTGACTCCCATCTGGCTTGTTCATTCATTCAGATTCATTCTACTTGCGTTGAATGTTCTTTTTCTCGAATATGTTTTGTTGTTTTGCTTCTTCTTCTTTTATTTTTATGTTTGTGGTGATCGTTTGCAAATTAATTTTTTTTTAGTGGTACAACTCACCTTTTTTTGGTTGTTGTGGGTTTTTCACTGTTTTATTTGCAAAAGTCACTGCACAAGGAATGATAAATTATGTTTTTTTTATGGTAATTTTTTTTATGGGTAAAAAGTTACTGCTCATAATTGATTAAAGTATTTTCTTCTGGTTCGTTTTGCTGGGTCATTTTTTTTCAATTGGGATCCAACCGACTGTTTAATCATTGCTTTTAATTATTTTGCTTTAAAAAAAGTACAAGGAAGATTTATTTGGATGGAATAAGTTTATTGCAAGAAGAATTATTATAGACTGATCATTATTATTGACTGATCATTATTATTGACTTTGCTTACCAGCTAACTTAATTCTTTAGTTGTGTAGTCAACATTTACAAATTTATTAATAACATTATTTTCGTATGCATATATTTATTAAAGTACAAAAACTTAAATTTTTGACGTGGCATCGTAAAGTCAATTTTAAATGACCTATTTTAATGTTTTAATGTTTCATTGATCTCGATAAGATAAAGACTAGCGTCCCCCATAAATTAAATTTAGAGAATTTCAGGCTTCTTTTTTCCATAATTTATGAGTTATAAGCAAACATCCATAAATTTTTGCTTAAGGAAGCGCGTCCAGTAGTTGCGTCCAGTTGACACCTTCCTGTTTGCCTATGCTGTGACCAATTTGATCCGTCTTCAATACCAATTTGCAAGAACTTCTACTGTTTCTATCCAATTTGCAATCAATATTTGAATTGTCTGCGAACAGAAGACTCTCAACAGCACACACCGAACAGACACATAGCTAGACAAACATGGTTAGATCGATTCAGAATTTGTGCCAGCAATGACGTGTGAGCTGGCGCATTATGTTACCGCATGTTTCACGCCCAAAACAATTTTGAAACAATTCCATGGCATGAGCTACCCGATATACCGACATTCTAACCAACTTCTTTAATAATGATTCGCCGATTTTCTATAACAATATGCTTCACTGCTTCAACGATTTTGTTGGCTGTTAAAGTGCTGGTATGTCCAGGGCAGGTATCGTCGCCAACATCTTGGACTTCTCCGAATAGTTTATAGCGCTTATAAATTGTTTTCTTCCTCAAAGTAGATGCGCCAAATTCCACAGTCAGCGTTTTAAATGGATTGATGCGTATATGGCGCGGTATTATTTACATTCGAGTATATATATATGCATATAAATTCGTTGAGATTTTCGGTATTTTTATGTCAAATTATTATGAACGAATTTTCATCAAGAAGTTTTGAAAACTAAGCCTTTTTATATCATTCAGCTTCCGTAGGAACTGTTTTAAAGCAATGGGTTCAAAAAATTGCCCCGTCCGATCTACTGGTTATTACAATTTGAATGCCGCAATATTATTACTCAACAATTCCGAAGTTCTGAAAACTATGCTATATTTTCATATAACGAACCAGACGTTATGCGCATTAGCGAAAAAAGGATCCGATCCAGTTTCAATAGCTGTCGTCTGTGGGCGAAAACAAGTCATTGTACTAAATTTGATCAAAATATCTCAAAAGTTGCGACCTGCAAGTTGAATACAGATCTACGTGGATACACAACAGACGGGCAGACGGTCAGATAACTCTACATCGATTCAGAATCATTTTCTATCGATGTTATAAAAGTATATTTCATGTTTTTCTGGTTCTTGCACATGTTCACAAAAACTTAATAAAACTATACCATAAAACTAGACCACAAGTCGTATATGGTATGAGAACTTTTAATTTCGATTTTAATTATAATTTTTATTTACATTTTTCGTTTCAAACAGGTTTGCGGATAGCTCGGCAAGCAACCGTAAAGAAACTTATACAATCCAAAAGAGCACCCTTTCGACACGTGAACCCCTCTACATTCCGCTGTCCTTTATTTATAGCAACCTTGCCGGATTTATAATTCCAAGCACACTTCATCTATTTGGCTATGTTTCAGCTATTATTGTTTGGAAGCTTTTTGAACAAGAACAGCAAAAAAATCTCATTGAACGCGTCTTTTTAATGACCAAGCATCCTAAGCGTCTTTGTCGAAGCGTATGGCTTCTGTTAACCTTTGAATTTGCCATTTTCATTTTGTTGTACATGTGTTCGAAGCCAGTCAATTGGAGAAACAACGAATGGTTACAAAAGTTAGATCAATATTGGCAGCTAAAAATAAAAGTGAGTACGACTTTAGAAAAAGTGATTATGAATTTAATGAAGAATTTTAGTTGCTTTTCATTCAGCGTTAATTATGAAAAGTAATACAGTAAAAGCTCTTTATTCGCGCGGTATATGTTTCATAAATATGCCGCGAATACAGAAACCGGGAACACGGAATGGTAATTTATATGAAATTATAGGGGATATGTTCCTAGGTGACAAAATAAAAAAAATCAAATATATAACAAAATCAAGTTAATTGAAGTTTGTGAACATTTTGATTATCTTAAGGCTTAGGCAACGGTTTGAAGAATTTTGTAATTTTCTCTTGCTTGGGAGTTTTTAAAAGCTCCTTCAATTCTGACTGATACGCAGCAGTCGCATTAGAAATTTGCCTCTCAAAAATAAGACTTCGTTCCGTAGACGAATCAATGTTCATAAAGAAATCGCGAAGCTCATTTGCCATTCTTAAACTTCCACTAAGATTTTTCAACTTAAATGTCACGTTTCCAGTGCTTGTTGAAGCTTCTTCTTCAATGGGCTGTAACATTTCCTCCAAGTCGGTTTCAGTCAAATTTTCATCTTGCGATTCAGAAACAAAACCATTCCGTGACTAATCATAAAAAATAGCACTTGTAACTCACGCTTTCTTATTAGCACGCCAAAACACTGCCGGGTTGTCTTTATTCTGATTTTGTAAAGCCCGAGGATTAAACGATCTGTAAAGCATCAGTGGCTTAATAACACAATCTCCTGATGCATTAGAGCATAGCACCAGTGTAACTCTATCCTTCGCTTTTAGAAATGAATGTTTTGTTTGGCACTCTCTTCCAAAACAGTGCAGTTTCGTCTGCATTAAAAACTTGCTCAGGTTTGTGTCTGCAGCAGTGTCTGCGGATGTTGTTGGAGAAGCAATTTTAATGTTATGCAATAATTGTCCCACCTTAAGCTTACTGAACCAACCTCTCGATGCTTGAAATCCTCCATCTGTACATTTACCACTACAACTACCATCAGGTTCTTTAAAATGAGCATAAAGACGCTTTGCCTTCTCTCGGACCATTGGACCACTCAGGGGGACCCTTTTTTGGTTGCGGTCTTCGATCCATAATGACAACGCCACTTCCATTTTTTCTATATAGAGGATCACGAACAACTTTCGCAGACAGTGAAGTTGAAGCTATGGACGAACTTATTTTATCTTCGGATTTTTTTATCGTACAGTTGATTCGTTGATATTGATTGAGCATGGTGTGGATGCAAATGACTCTCCAACAATTAAGCATTTCTATTTTCACTTTAAGCTGTAACACAGATTTTTTTTGTGTCTAAACTCGTTTCTCATTTTTTTTAGTTGACATTAAAAATCCGAAAAAGAGCGGTGTTACTCGATCGCAATTTTTGTAACGAATGTGAAAGACGAAACAATAAAACACGCAAAGCAGCTTTTACCATAGAACGGAACAGGAACCTTTAAAAATATGTATACATACTTTATTCATTGAGTGATAAGGTTGCCTTCATTCTGTTTGTTTACTTTTTCAAAAACACCGATGGCGGATATCTATAGCCACGAATATAGGAATTGGTCGCATTTCTTTAATCCGCGAATAGTGAACCCGCGAATGAAGGAAGCGCGAATACAGAGCTTTTACTGTAATTCAAAAGTTATTACGATCGACAATATTTCACAACATTAAGTTTATATAAATATCTTGTATTGTTGATATGGTTTATTGATCATTGAGCAGCATCAAAGACAGGATCGTTTAATCAAGCATGGATATCAACAATTTACCTACTAAGTTTTAGAATATTGCCGCGCGTCAAGTAATTTATGTAGATCATAGTGTGAACTGCATTTGTATACCATAAGGGCGGATTTCGTTGAGCAAGAAAAAAAAAACCCAGCCTGCTCTCAACGTTACTTAAAGAATTTTAAATGTTCTTTCATGCGAAATATGTACTGAAAGCTGGAGTATGGATATGATGGTTATTTTGAAAATTGTAGAATTTATTGGTTTCATTGTTTATATTCAGTATATTGCATAGAGTATTCATTGGAAAATAATTTATTGCGATAACGTTCCTAAAATAATGAACAAATGAATTCATATAAAATCATGAAATAATTAAAGTTTTTTTTCAAAGCAGGTAATTAGACTGTCTGTCATTCTCAAAAGTTTTAAGCTAACATAATAATGATAACTGATGATGACTGTTTAATATTCAGTTTACTTCAACAAATCAAATTACTATTTGGCAGAGGTATTCTTAAATAGTGAATAAAATTTTTATAAAAAATATTAGTTTCAAATAACGGTTGTTAGTCATTCAATTAAAGTTTAATACTTGTAGTTGCAAATCGTTCTAGCTATTGATCTTTTCGCTTCTTTTATAGAGTTCAGTGGATTTTACAAAAATTAATTGTGCTTTTGACATTATAAACTCTTCGCTTTAGCACATAATCATTCACAAATCCTTGCATATTGCATTATATGATTCACAGCTAAAATGCTCGATATGATTTCTTTTAAAAATCTTCGATCTACACAATTTGATCGTTGTGGTCACTTCATAGAATGCATCATAGTAAATAAAAACCTGATAGCAGTAATGCGCTAACCAGGAAAAGAGCTACAATTTTTCTTATCCTTCTTCCACAGTATAATAACAGCGTAGTCTCCTTAACAGCGACATTAATAATCGACGAATTTGTCATCATCAGTATACTTTCGCAGTCACATCTCTCTGTGGGTCAGTGAAACACAAAAATATTTAAATTATTTAAATGACTTGAAAAGAAAAAAACGAAATGGGTGTACCGTTTTTCTAGAAAACATAAAACATTATTCTGTCAAATATTTTGTTGGACCAGAATTAGTGAGAGCAGATCTTTTTCTGTTTGGGTAAAGCCAATTGCGTACTTGCTAATTACTTATGCCCTTGTTGAACCCTAGATTAATAAGTAAAGAAACATTTAGCTATCTGTATACCTTTTTCCGGGCTTTTATGTTGTGGATAGGACATGCCTTAAATATGAAGAAGGATATGCTTTATTAAAAAAGAAAAGATATTTGCAAAGTGCAGTTGCAGAGTGTATACATACAACTCTTATTCGATAGTGACGCTAAAATAAGGAGAAACCCAAACTCAAAATTTGAGAGAAGCATTTAACGCATTTTTCCGAAAATCATTTAAAGAAATACAAATACTGAACTGAAAATTCTCTAAAGTAAAGATATGCGAAATGTAGAAATTAAACTCAAAGATGGTTGCGCTTAGTTCGATGAAGCTGTTAGCGGGCTTTAACGTTTTCGAAGTTCTGCCACTCATGGAGATCTGATACAAGAAGGAAAATTCGTTTTGGTGTCTTGGCCATTCGCGTGGAAATTTGGGGATGATCCTTTTTATAGCAATATATCAGAATTAGCCATACGGGATTTACGGTTTTTATTAGCAATCGGGCATTAAAGGGATATGATATGTTAGACATACCGAGACACGGCGGGTATTATCGGCCGTGCTGCGGGTGCAGTCTTTGTCCTTGAAAAGGCTTACGATTGTCATGTCCCAACTGTAGAACGTGGGGAGATTTCTACAAACTCTTCAGGGAGACGAGAAGTTGTTTCTCAGATTTGAGTAAAAATCTCGGCTCCTTGTGGGAGAAATTTTAAATAATGAAGACTAAGTTTGATAAGTGCCGTTACATTGCGCACTCATCTTCTTCCCCAGCTAACAAAGTTACAAATCGTAGCGTGGTTCGTCACCTCTGAGTTCTCCTAAGTTTGATTCGCGCAAGTTAGCGCTTCCGCAAAGTCTAGAAAGAAAGTTAGCGTTTCTGCTATTGTTGAGCGGGTCGGTGACAACAAAGTTACAAATAAGCCAAGGAGTCTTTCTGGTCCTCTCCCCCTGGCTGTTCGAGTATGAACGCTGGTTGCCAAAGTGGGCATGTTGCACAAGCTGCTAATGCAGGTGCGGTTAGCTCTTCTAAATTCTCCCCAACTCAAAACTCCCCATCCATTGGGAGTCTGCTCCTAGTACAGACCACATTTGCTTGACGGCAGTTCCTTCCAGCAAAGCAATATTTGTGTCGAGACTGGCACCTGATACATCTGTGGATAACATAAAAAGTTGTCTGGCGACGAAAGCCCCATCTCTCAATTTAAAGCGTGTTAGCATTCTGAAACTAGCTCCTTCTCAACCTAAAGAAATCTCGTCTTTTAAAATTCTAATTCTGACTGAATACATGGATTTGTTGTTAAATAAACTATTGTGGCCGGTTGAATTCTTAAATAAGGAAATTTATCCCCTGTGATCAACGCGTAATAGTAATGCAGTAGCGCTTTCCCATTCAAAAAACTAAATAAATCTCCAGGTTTACTAACTCACATTTATCAAAATGTTAGGGGCCTAAATTCAAAAATTCGTTTTACTTTTCTAAATTCCGTAAGCACGAAGTTTTCCTGTCTGCCATATCTGCGTCAATCCCGTCCAATTCAATGGAATTTCCCGCTTCTCCTTACGTTGAATTTATCGCCATTCGAGCGAAAATGCCTGATAAGCAGCTATTTATAACCTGCCCCAAATTCTGATATCTCCATATATAAGAAACCGGCTGCCTTCATTTGTGAAGTGACCAAGCCGTCTAAACCCATTGATTTGGTCGTTGCATTGGGTGACTTCAACTTGCCTCAAGCCACTTGGTGTAACAGTAATAATTCTGTCTTCTTTAACGAATATCACAAGAATAGAAAAAACAAGCTTTTCAAAAAATTTTCGAAAAGTGGTTCCTTCGACTATTTCACTTACTCAGCGGTAAGGCAAAGATTTAATTTCCTCAACCACCAATATTATTGCAGTTTGTTAAATCCCCTCCGTTTGCTAGCCCTAAATAGATTTTTATGTTTGTTAATTCCAAAAGAAAAATCTCCATAAATCCCTCGCATGTTTGTGTTAATGGCTCCGAGTCCTTGGATGGTATTGAAACCTCAAATCTCTTTGTAGAATACTTCCAACAAAACTTTTCGACTGCTAATTTCGATCTATCAGCAAGCCATCCATATCCGATTACTAATTTGGTTTCAGTTCCTAATTTGGATATTTCTGGACATTACATTTGAAGGGTTGAGCACTCTAAAATATAGCTCAAATTATCTCAAAGATCTTTAACCAGTCCTTGAATTTAGGTATTTTCCCTTTGTGTTGGAATAGTTCCTTCTTTATTCCTATTCACAAAAGTGGAAATAAACACCTCGTTGAGAACTACAGGCGCATAGCCAAGTTGAGTGTCTTGCCTAAGCTGTTCGAGCGAATTGTGACTCAGCATTTGGCCTTTGCCGTTAATTCGTGTATTTCTCCATACCAGCATGGCTTTCGGAAAGGAGAATCTACGGTCACCAGTTTGTTAGAGTTTACTTGTCATGCTTTCAAGGTTTTTTCTAGTGCCTCTAGCATTGATGTAATATGTACTGATTTAAAGAAAGCGTTTGGTTTGGTTAACCATAGCATACTTATCTTTAAACTCCAAGCATCTGGCTTTCCTTTGTATTTAGTAAAATGGATAAGCTCTTATCTGCACAATAGATCATTCAAGGTTTTGTTTAACTTCATCATCACAGATGAATTCCTCGTAACGTCTGGCGTACCTCAAGCCATCCACTTAGGACCAATTTGATTTAAGTTATACATTAATGATTTGCCCTTGGAGATTAAATTCAGCGAGATCTTAATGTATGCTGATGATGTGAAGCTGTTCTCTTCCTTCTCTGTAAAATCGCAATCACATCAGCTTTAAACCGACTTGAATAATTTGGTTGCATGGTGTTCTTTGAATGTTCTGAAACTAAATCTAAATAAATGTAAGAAGCTTTCTTTCTCAAGAAGGAAGTCATTCATTACTCAGTATTTCATCGATTCACACAAGTTGGAGGACGTCGATTCGTTCACAGATTTACGCGTCCTATTTGACCATAGGTTACGTTTTGACTTGCTTATTGAGCTGTCGTTAAGCAAAGATAGGTCCGCGCTTGGTTTTATAAAGAGGTGGCCCAAAGAGCTTGATGAGCCTTATATCACGATAAGGTTGTACATATGTTTGGTTAGACCTCTGCTTGTATGCTCTCCTTCATTTAGGTGCTACGTAGATTCAATTGAATCTGTTCAAAAGCAATTCTTGCTGTTTGCCCTTAGGAATTTGGTTTGGGACCTGATTGCCCCTCTTCCACCCTATGAAAATAGGTTGCTTCTATCATCCTTACTTGAGAAGCGTAGACTTATTCTTGGGGTTTCCTTCTTAATCAAAGTAATGAAATGGTATTATTGCCTCGCCCGCATTACTTGGTGGGATAAGCTTTAATGTCCCTTAACCGCTTCTCTAGCCACTTTATCTTGTGATTAAGGTTA